GCCCGGTGTGGAAAAGCGCGGGTTTAGGTTTGGTTTTTTTGGGTTTTTTTTTTTTTTTTTTAAGTGAAAATTCTGTTGTTTTGGGCGCTCCCCCCCAGCCCGGCTGCGGAGCTGCGGCGGCCTCGCCATTGTTCTCTGCTGGGATGGGCTGAAAACGGCAAAAATCGGGAAAAAAGGATAAAAAAAACCCCTGTCAGAAAAACCCCAAAAAAAAAAAAAAAAGGAAAAAAAAAAAAAAAAAAGGGGGAGTGATTCCGGCAAAGGGGAGGAAGGAGTTGGAACAAAGAAAGAGGGAGGGGAGCTCCAAAATGGGGGGAAAAGGGAAAAACTGGGGGAAGAGGCACGGCGGGGAGTGAGGCGCCGCTTCCCCCACGCTGCAGGAATCCCCGATTTGGGGTTTTTTGGGGTGTTTCCCCCCGGTTTTCCTGCTGTTCCCGACGCTGGAGCAGGCCTTTGCTCAGGAACTTGGTGCCAAGTGTGGAAAAGCTCGAGTTTAGGTTTGATTTTTTGGGGTTTTTTTTTTTTTTTTTTGAAGTGAAAATTCTGTTGTTTTGGGCGCTCCCCCCCAGCCCGGCTGCGGAGCTGCGGCGGCCTCGCCATTGTTCTCTGCTGGGATGGGCTGAAAACGGCAAAAATCGGGAAAAAAGGATAAAAAAAACCCCAAACCAACAAGTTTCAGCTGTGGAGGAGCGGGAGGAGTTGGCTTTCCGCTGGGAAAATGGGGAAAAAGTGTTATTTCACCTCAAATCCGGGGAGAGAGGCCAGGCTGCTGCTGATCCGGGGGGGAAAAGGTTAAAAATGGGCAAAACTTCTGCTCCAGGGGGAGAAAGGTTCATAAAAATGGGGATTTGGGGGAGGAAAAAAGTGAAAAAAAATGAGGATTGGGGATGTTCTCAGAGGGAAAAGGATAAAAAATGGAGATTGGGGGTGTTTGGGGGAGGAAAAGGGGTAAAAATGGGGATTTGGGGTGGTGGGGGGGAAAGTTTTAAAAAGTGGATTTAGGGCTGGTTTGGGGTGAGCTGTGTGTCCCACAGGGGGGTCTGAGGAAAAAGAATTCAGGATTGGTCCAAAAGTGCAGAAAAAGCCAAAGGAAAAGGTCAGGGAAGGAGCGGAAGGTGAGGTTTGCCCATTTCTGAGGGGTTTGGGGGGAAAAAAATTGAGGTTAAAATCTAAATTTATTCATGTCTGAGCTTTTCTGGAAAAGAGGGAGCTCTAAGATCAGTGTGCTCATTTCTGAGTGTTTTGGAGGGGGTTAAAATCTAATTTTGCCCCATTTTGAGCATTTTTGTGAGCTCTGTCATCCAGATGTACCAATTCTTGAGCACTGGGGGGGGAAAATTCCCAAATTTACTCATTTTTGAACAATTCTGGGGAAAAGCAGGAGTGTGAATCCCAAAATGATCCATTTCTAAGCTTTTCCAGAAACACAAATTGTTCTAAAAGCTGAATTGACTCATTCTTGGGAGCTCCAAAATTCACATTTACCCATTTCTGAGCATTTGGGGGCAAAAAAAAAGGAGGCTAAAATACAAATTTACCAAATTCTGGGCATTTCAGGGCCAAGGAAAAGGTTCCAAACCCAGATTTAAGCCACTTCTAAGCATTTGTGGAGGGAAAGGGGGAAGTAACCCCCAAATTTACTCCTTTCTAACCTTTTTGGGAAAAAGAAAGCTTCTAAAATCTGAATTTATCCACTTCTGAGCCTTTTCAAAGCAAGTGGCTTCACTTTAAAGCTGATTTTTAAACCAAACTGACCCCTCTGGGCTTTGAGATGCCTTTTCCCCTCACCAGTTTGAAAAAAATCCAAGAAATTTAATTCAGAAGGGGAAAAAAACCCTCTTAATTTTGGACAAAAATGGTCAATTTTAGTGCCCCACTTGATGGAAAACCACCAGTAAAGGCGTTTGAACCCCCACACTGGGAATGAGGGTGAGAAAAATGGGAATTTTGGTGCGAAATGCTCGTTTTTCCCCATTTACCACCCGCAGGAGGAGCTCTCAGGTGGAGGGATGGAGGCACCAAACCCCCCCACGGGGCTGGAATTTGGGGTGAAGGCTCAGCTGAGTCGCTGGCACCCAGAGGTGGTGGTTGGTAAATAAAATAAATCCTGATAAAAGGTGATAAAACACAATAAAACAATAAAATCCCGTGGAAGCGGCTCCCAGCACGGGTCCTGGGGACAACGGCTCCGTCCCGGAGGGGACAGCGGTGACACCTGAGGCCATCTGAGGCCATGGGCACCCAAACACCTCAAAACGGGGCAAAACAAACGGTTCAGGGTCCTGGAAGGGGAGAAACAGCCCCCAGACACCTCAAAATGGGGAAAACAAACGGTTCAGGGTCCTGGAAGGGGAGAAACAGCCCCCAGACACCTCAAAATGGGGTAAAACAACTGATCAGGGTCCTGGAAGGGGAGAAACGACCCCCAGACACCTCAAAATGGGGTAAAACAAATGGTTCAGGGTCCTGGAAAGGGGAGAAACACCCCCAAACACCTCAAAATGGGGTAAAACAAACAGTTCAGGGTCCTGGAAGGGGAGAAACGACCCCCAAACACCTCAAAATGGGGTAAACCAACTGATCAGGGTCCTGAAAGGGGAGAAACGACCCCCAAACACCTCAAAATGGGGTAAACCAACTGATCAGGGTCCTGAAAGGGGAGAAACGACCCCCAAACACCTCAAAATGGGGTAAACCAACTGATCAGGGTCCTGAAAGGGGAGAAACGACCCCCAAACACCTCAAAATGGGGTAAACCAACTGATCAGGGTCCTGAAAGGGGAGAAACGACCCCCAAACACCTCAAAATGGGGTAAACCAACTGATCAGGGTCCTGGAAGGGGAGAAACAGCCCCCAAACACCTGAAAAGGGGGTAAAATAACTAATCGGGGTCCTGGAAGGGGAGAAACAGCCCCAAAACACATCAAAATGGGGTAAAACAACTGATCGGGGTCCTGTCAGGTACCTACAGCACCCATGATCCTAAAACGTGGGGTGCTACAGCCACCTTGGGTCCTGTCAGGTACCTACAGCCCCTAACACCCCCCAAAACAGCCACTCTGGGTCCTGGCAGATGCACAGCAACAGCCTCCACCCCACATGATGGGGTCAGCACCCACTTCGGGTCCTGGCAGGGACACAGCAGGCCCTGTCATCCTCGCTGTGGGGTTCAACACCCACTCTGGGTCCTGGCAGGGGACATCCAGCCCCTGTTACCCCACATGATGGGGTCAGATCCCACTTTGGGTCCTGCTCTGAGGGAGTGGGGGCAGATCGGGGGTCTCGGGGGTCCCGGTACTCGCGGGAAGCTCCGGGAAGAGCTGAGGGGCCAGCGGGGCTCGGTACCTGCGGGAAGATCTGAGGGGACAGGTGAGGATCGGGGGATCTCGGTACCTGTGGGCGCCTCCGGGAAGCGCTGAGGGAGCGGAAAGGGGGAGCTCGGGGGGCGGCCCCGGGAAGCGCTGAGGGGCTCGAGTGGCAATCAGCTCGGGGGGATGCTTGGGGGGTCCCGGTACCCCCGAG